CATTTTTTCATGTTGTTCACAAAATACAGCTACAAGTTATTAGGTATTGCATTTGATGACCACTTGCCAGCTTTTGAGACTGCAGTTAATAGGTTGAATGACTTGTATTATTATTATGGATAGAAAATAGTATAAAGTAAATTATGATGAGATGCTAGTAAAGGAAATAATGTCATGTGACAAAAAATCTTTTACAGTTTAAGAAGGAACAAAAATGGTTATCTCTTCCAGGTGTACAACTTTGCCATTCGATCAACTTTGTTGAGCACAGAGGTCCTAAAACACTGTGGTGAATATGGAGAAGCTGCAATGATGTTTATTAAACTGACATCAGAGGAAAGTGACCTTTTATCCGCCCTTATGCTAGAACAGGCAGCTCATTGCTTCATCAATGCCAGAAGACCTCTCCCAAGAAAGTATGCATTCCACATGACTCTGGCCGGCCATCGGTTTGGTAAAGCAGGGCAACGGTCTCACTCGTTACGAGCATATAAACAGGCTTTTCAGGTTCGTTATTTTTTGTTTTTGTTTTATCAGCAAAGTTCAGTAGATTATCTTTTTCAGATTTATACTTGGATTTATTTATGTATTTGACTTATGCTTTATTTTGACTTGTTAACGCATTGGATCCCTTTGTGTCACGGAAATCACGGTGCTGAAAATATTGGCAGTGACTTACAGAAGTAGCCAACATCCTGGGAGTGTGGTGCGTAGGCCAGGCGTGCGTGAACACCCATGAGCATTGACAAAACTTTGTGCCTCCCTTGTGCAAAAAATTTTTTGTGTAAATTTTTTTAGCTTTTTGCCTTTTTTGAATATCCATATTTGTCTTTTGAAATGCTTTATTCAGATGGTAATAGCTTCTTTTCCGTGCACAGACTCCATATCATCAGTGCAAGAAAAAAAATAAAAATAAAACATTTGGTTATTTGTGTGATGTATTATATTATTTCGCAATTTTCAATTTTGTGTAAAACAACCTGTGCCGCCAGTCTCAGCGGCCATGAATATGGTGTGCAGCATAGAAATGGTGTCCTCCTTGGAATCAGCATTCTTCCAGTTATGGCTTACACCCATTACATTCCACATTCGTTTATTGATGGGAATAATGTTAAAAGCCCCCTTTTAAGTGCCAAATGAGTCAAATCACACTCCAAGAGGTTTGTGCACTCATAGCAAGTCTTTTCCATCACCCTGGCCTTCGCTCATGACAGCAAGTTTGTGTCACCCGGCCCATGGCCAGATGACCTGGCTCTCAACTCAGATTTTTCCATGACAGGACTGTAACATCATCCGGATCTTAGGGGTTAAAAACAAAATATTGGCTGAATGAAATAGATGATATGGCAATAGTTTGGTGTTTTACTGTTCATAACTCATCCATCTTCCTCAGCCTTTATTTACTGAAGTATAAAAAAATGAGTTTTAGCCAGCTTTGGAAACTTGCCTAACTGCATGAAGATACAGTTCACTCCCTTTTTTACATCAGTAAAAATTACATTTTTATCAGGCCAAACACCCTCTGTTGTGTATATCTTCATGTGTGTCTGGAATGAATTAGATAGATATAGGTATATATAACTACTGGATTTCACTCAATATCTCTAAGATACAAGAGTGGAAAAGCATTTAACTACTATTTCATCCCACAGATCTATGCAACTCGTGGCTGGGTACTCGCTGAAGACCACATTCACTTCACCTTGGGCAAACAAGCCCACCATCTGAAGCAGCTGACAGAGGGACTGGCTGCATACAACAGCTTGGTGGACCAGCGAACCAAGCAGGCTGCTCCTAGTCAGCAATCCCCTACTCAACAGATGACCTATTCCCGAGAGTTCATAAACACATACCACCAGTACATCCAGCAGGAATGGGACTCAGCATCAGGGCTGCCTTGTCTTCCACTACCTCTGATAGATTCCCAAGCGACAACCATCCTATTGGGGTCCCCTCAAGAGGCACCTACAAGCCCTGGCTGGACTGCAGCCTCACATGTATCTCTGGACAGTGGGGCCATTGCTAATGATAGATGGTTTGCCCTGGAGAGGGAGCTGGTTACAGAGACTCAGGGCACACTACCCATTGTATTTAGGCCAAATTTACAATTGCTTAATAAGGATACTCCAAATACACAGAGTCCCATGGTTCCTGTAAATGAGCCTGTTCTAGTTGAACTGATCATGAGCAATCCTCTGGCAGTAAGTCTGATGATTACTGATGTTCAGTTAGTGTTCACTTTCAAAGCATCTGGTGATCAGGAAATGGCTAGTGATCCTCAAGTCAAACATTCAATGTTTAAGGGATTCAATCTCCCTGCTGGTGCTCAAGAAAAAGTAAGATTAGAGCTGTATCCTGCATGCACTGGCCAGATCCTTATCACTGGGGTTCAGTACAAACTCTCCCTGACCCCTGACCTAGTTGCAGCACCTCCTCCAGGATCAACAGCAGTGCCTGTTGTCATTGAAGGCCAGCAATCATCGCAGGTTCAAGGGACCCC